TTCTGGTCGAGTCCCATTTTTATCTTTCAACCTTCAATTATAAAGCACAAGTAGAAAACTTGAGTCTTATCTTTGCAATGATGATGAGTGCTCATTAAAAGTTAGCTGCGTGTTCCCCGACAAAATTACAATGACATTAATGATGCGGATTCATTTCATTGCAAAACGGGGCAGAATCATTATTTTTTACTTGCTGCGTACTTACATAGGTTTTGAGGAGGATGAATTACAAGCTCAATTCAAAAAGAATCGAGGCAACTCAACCTCTGAAAAGTAAAAGTAAACAAGAGAAACGAATCCAACCAATCTTTTAGTATTTCTGGAAAAAAGGCTCAGTCAATTTCAACCATCTTTTGCAAATATCAAACAACCATTTGCCCTGTCCAAATTGTAATTCAGTAAAATTCAGCAAACAACTTTCCCAATATTCCTCAATCCTGTTGCTGCTGCTGCTGAATTGAAGACCTGAGTGGAGAGGTAAAAGGTCTAAAGTAAGCTGAATGCCTCCTTCACAATGAACTTTCCTTGTTCTCAATTTCAATCAATTGGCAAACAAAAAGCAGAATATTTATAGAAAATGTGCCCACTTGAGTTCAAATCAAGACAATTCTTTTCAGCGATATTGTTTGGAAGTCGACTGCTAAAGCAAAGAAATTTCAATAGTTCAGTTGGGGTTATTTAAAAGCATTTTGTTGATCTAAATCTCTACTACTACACGAGTTATGCACAAGCTGAGATTTTTGCCCATCCCGAGGAAACTTTCTTCCTCTCGAAGGCAATAATTCTTCCGTGGTCGACTCTGGAATTATTGTGTGGACGGAGGTTAGAATCACAGGATAAGATACTGGCTCTACACACAAAAGATCCTTGTCATTTTCGAGACGGACGGGGCAACTCCATCCAGCTCCTTTTTTTCAAACTCCATTCCCCTGATAAAACTTTTTTTGTTTTATATGTTTGCATTTTAATCTTTTTCATATTAAAAGCGAAGCTCCAGGGGACGAGGGTTTACGCTCTGCATGAAATTCAAGCCAACCTACGTACGTACTTACTTACTTTGCAATGCATACTCTTGGCTTGTGTACTCTGGCAAAATTAGGCTTGTGTGCAAAAATACACCACAAGGAAACAAATGGGCGTAACCCTCCTTCAGCAAGTGATGCTTTGTGCACACGAAAACGAAGTAACGACAGCGTGGTGGTTCAGCAGTTTTGTGGTTTCATGCCCCAACTGATACTGATTTGTCTCAATGTGTTGAATGAAATCTTCCCCTTTTAACGAGGGCCGAAGATGTCATTGGAATTGCATGACATCACCTCTTGCGAAGAAAGCAGTGGCACACCTACACCTCCAACCACCACCACCACCTCCCATGTTTCTGTTACGTTATACGCACAGGAAATCATCGCTTTATTTCGTAGCAGAAGGGAAAGTTCGTATTTTAGAAAAAAAACTAAGCGCGTCAGTCCTTTTAGTTCCCACCTAAAAATTCACATCTTCTGTTTGTTCTATTTGTGTGTGTATGTGTGTTGTGGATGCATTATTACACTGGTCATGTCACTATATGCATGTATTCCCCCGAGACTTGATCATCCATGTGCTCTTTGTCCTCCTGTCCATTCAAATCCTCAGCGTCTTAAATCCTAAGCTCTTAAAAGAATGGGGACCAGGCTGGAGATCAGATCTGAGTGGACGAGCAAAGCAACAAGGACAAACAATAACAAGGGAACCGTTCACCCAGGCTGAAACAAAAACTTCAAAGATTGTAGAGCCATCAGGAGCCTTTCCCTCTTGGTTCTCAGCCCTGGTGAAAAATACTGACCAATACTTGTTCCTCGTTCTTAGCCAAAGACGTCGTTTCAAGCAAAAAGGTCTTAAAATTTAGAAAGGATGGAATACAGAAGAATGCTTTTAAACTAGGAATTTTGACACTTTCTCTCTCTCGCAGTCGCACATTCAAATAGTTAAAAGTTCTTAACTCAAAGCCACACTGGGCTGTGCAACATGAAATGGAATATTAAATGTCAGGACTTTTATTCTATTTCGCTTTTTGGAACAAGAAATCCCTCTCCGAAAACGTCTAATCCACGAAATTGAATTTCAAATTTCTCCGCCTTTCGAATAATTGAAACAAGTTATTGAAAGTGGAACTCCGTCATATTATTATTTCACGCGTTTCAGGTCAGCACTCTCCTCAACTGGTCACGAAGTCACCCAGTTAGTGCATCCCAACTCTGAGTTCTAAACCCTATTGAGATGTAACTTTTATTACGCCTTATTTATTAACCTTGCTGAAAAATGCAAATTTCAATGCGAATTAATGCCACATTGTCTTAAAGAGTATGCAGATTAATTGATTTTGAGAATTTGTGTCGAAAAAATTCAGGTTTTGCATTTTATTGCCTTTTCTGCTTATTCGCTCAAAAATTTATTGATAATGAAAATGTCTGATTGTCTATTACCTACACTTTTGACTAATTATGTGCTCTTTTTGTTCCAGGTAAGCCTCAATTTCATCCCATTTTCTTTGTTTCTCGACATATGTTGGAATATTTTCTGAAATAATAAGGCGCAAGTTCATCGTCAACAACTGTAAGTATCCAAAGTACACATATGCATATTTAATTTGGCGTATGTATGTATGGTTGATGAAGATTTTGATAAAGAGCAACTTGGCCACTCAGAAACAAATTGGTTCATTTCGGCGTGTTGCTCTCTCTCCTAAATCTTCTCTGCTTTCATTAGTGAAGTGCCCAACGTTGGGTGTTCCTCGTCCATTAGCTCGAAAGCGATCTGACACTTTTTAACCACTTCAACTTGAAACATTTAACCGTCCACTCGGTGGATGCAGCTAAAAGCTCGTCGCAAAAACAATTACTCTTACGAGAAGCATAACACACATGTTACGTGCACATATGCATTCAGCTATTTATATTCATTTTATATGCATCGTGGGGAATGCATGATTTAAAACACTCGTCAGTCATGTAAAATATTTTTAAAATATGTAAACATGATAGAACTGCATTTCGATTTCAAAGTGAAGTGGATATTTTGCATTCTAATTAGGATTCATGATTTAATTTGCTTAGTTTTAATTACTCACAACTCGCGTCCACTCGACTTTGTGCGTTCGTACTAATTACAAATATTGGATGTACGTACACGCACCAATGAATTCGGAACGGCGAAATGATTACGAATCGACTGATCAATAACCCGAATTGAATAAATTATTGAAAATCTAAATATGCCACGTGCAAGAGTACTTAGTGAAATTGGGCTCAATTTCAAGTGCTCTTAAAGAACTAGAACATTGTCCACATTTTCTAAAACTTTTCCAGGAAAATTGGGCGTTTTCTATGCAACTTTTTCTTAAGTACCTCCAACCGTGTACATTTAAAATTTCTGGGCAGCCTGTGAAACTTCTTGTACTCGGGAGCAACCCAAATTTAAATATGTAATGCTTCTGCTGCTCAAGTTATGTATGTGGCGTTATTCATGGGCCTTTTCAATTACCGCGTATGTTTACAGCCCAGCTTATTGCACACCTTATTATTACTGTTATTACTCCATGGCCGTACGTATGATATCGTCATAATCATACGAGAAATCCTCTTTGTTGTCGGGGAAGTATGGAAGTATTACTTTAGATTGTCGTTGACGAAACTGTGGCCATTACGGCGGCCAGCTTGTCCATGTATCAAAGTGCTCTATTTAATTCCGCTTTGAAAACCATGATACAGGGAGATACGATAAAGTGCTGAATAAATTTGTGTTCTGCAACGCCATGTACGAAGGGGATTCAGAAATGGGGCAAATCTCATGTTCCCTTTCGGGATTAATTTTTCTGGTTGGATTGTGGGCGAGTGAGTCTGGTTGCATGGAGTCAGTGCTATTCAGCGCACAATGCTCAATCCATCATGAAACTGAGAAAGATCAAAGGAAGAGGGAGCGACATAAAAGTGATAAAAGTGGGGAAAGTGTCGTCCTTATGAAATATGGAATAATAGAGAACAGCACGAGGAAAGAATTGTGAAGAATTCTTGTCTTTGCCACCACCAGGGCTGCTGAACATAGGACGAGCCTCCATCTCCTCCCATCCCGCTGTCACTCGTTCCTTGTCCTTTGTACGTGTTTTGAAGGCTTAATATCCACCACTCTTAAAACGTCTCGAAATAGAATGTAGCCACACGTTTTATAAACACACAACTTAATTCATCACACGCTTCCGTGGTTTTAAGTTGGTTTCTACAAGTGTGGTTTCACTCGTTGTGTCACTGATACAGCAAAACTAGCCCCCAACTGATAGCAGGAATATTACAATCGCTGTGTGCGTGTGTGGTCACCCATTTGGGACACGTTGACATGAAATCTATGTAGGCTGGCTGGCCGGGTATTGTGCGATGAGGACATTGCAAAGATTTCCTCCTGTCCGCAAAATATGGCTTTTTCATGACTACTACATTTTGATCGGAGTTGATCCATCGCTCCCATATCCACCGACGACCGTTATTGAGAAGATTGGAATATCATCGGTGGCAGTGCGGCCATACAATGGGCTTGAATGCATTGTGCGCCTCGTCTTGTCTTCTTCTTGGCATGGGAAGAGAGAGAGAGAGGCAGATAACGTTGGTTGAAAGTTGGTTCCAGTCGGACTAAGGTGGGACGACGCTTCTTATTCAGCAGCCTCCGTAGAATTCTCTCCTCGCAGTCTTGTAAATATCCCAGACTTGGTCGCCAACCAGCCTGAATCCCAACCAATCCAGTGCACAAAGGCTCTCAATCTTGGACTCTTGAAGTTGAGCTGTGGTGGAAAGCCTGGAACTCGAGCAGGTGGCTTGCTTGCTTTGGAGTCGAGGTTTATAAAGCAGCTTGGCCAGAGAGAGAGAGCAGGAGAAAGTATTTGGTCTCTCACTTTCTCTCACTCTGTTCCTCTGGAGAAAACTCGGGGAAAGGAGAAAATACGGAATAGTTTCAGTTTTGGGCTGCTCAGAGCCACATCATCCTCACACCAGCTCCGCCACCGGTTTTCGCCACTGTTGCAGCACAACCGGAGAAGTTTCTTCCAGAGAAAGTTCCAACTTTACGAACGCACTTTGGATTCTAATTCGAACATTTGAATATCTTTAGAGGTGCATCAATATCATCAAACTCTTGTTCAAATCCCAAAATATATCACTCGCCCAACATTTATTCAAACCCGTCTGAAACTTGTCTGGTTTGGTTGAAAAGCAACGTGAGGACACCAAGCATCTCATCATTATCATCATCATAAAATGCATAAGAAACCAGTTCTCTCAAAGGAGAGTATAGCGAACGAGTAATAATAAATATACTTTAAGACACCACCACAAAAGTCTCATGTGTACGATTGAAATTTGACGTCTTATGTCAATTCCTCAACCCCACCAAGAAGAAGCCCAATTACACAACCGTTAAAGGTGAAGGAGACCAAGTGAGTATGTATTTTCTTGCAAAAGTGAAAGTGGTTTTTTGAGACAAGATCTCATTCTTATTGAGTGGATTGAGTGGTGGTCGCACTCGCTCTCCAAAAATGAACTCGATCAATTTAAATTTTATAGAGTGGGAGAAATCGCTACGAAACGTATAAATAAAAGCACAACTAAACTACAGTATAAAATCAGGGTGAAAACCATACGGCTGCAGATGGTGATCTAATAATAATGCTAATGAATGGCAGGAAGAGAGACGCATGCCAACAATATTGTCATCATCATCCTGTGTCACCGACCGAACCAAACAATTCAATTTTTTTCCGAATCGACGCATCCACTAGTCATCAACCTTAACCAAACACACACATTTACTCGCACGAACAGCAAATAGCAATAAGTAAGCAAGAACAATACGACTCCCACTGCTACGTGTGCATAACAATAAATTCAATTTCCGGTCTGGCAAGCACAAGCAGTTATCTCATATCAGATATTATGCTCCTTCTTGTGATTATTGACTCATTCGACCAGTTCTTATCCGTAGGCACGGTTGAGACACCAGACACTTGGCAGTCGAAAGTGTGTATTTTAAGATTTTGAGGAAATTTCAATACTCTCCTCGCCTCCTCCTCCTTCTCGTGTGCTAGTTAAATTGACAGCAGTTTTGTGATACTACGATACGATAACGATAACAGTTGGTAGTAAATACAATCATAACACTACACAAGAAGTGGGTGTTTTGCAGCGCTCACATTTTTTGTGTCCAGAGTGTCTCATAATTCGGACTAATACAATAATTGTAAGGGAGTCATTTTTCCTCCTTCTTTGAGACGTTGGATATAATAAAGAGTTCATTAGCAAGCTCGGATACTTTTTCTGCTTCCCATTGACGTACAAATCAAGTACAAGCAAGAAAATTAACTAAATCACGAAATAGCATGAGTCGCCCTGCGAACTCTGATCCTCATTAAGTTGTTCAAGTAAGTTCTTCTCGTAGGCAGAGGCACGATATGTGCGATTCATTATTTACTTGCTCCCTTTTATCCGTATACTCTCACATAATCAACAGTCAACTAAAGAGAGCGAAGCACGCGACATTCCTCGGCCAACTTTATATAAGCTGCTGTTGCTGCTTCTTTGATTAGGCTCCTTGTGTCAATAAAAGGAAATCGCCAAGAAGGTGTACAATTATTCTTCATTATTGGACAAACTTTTTCCCATCCATGTCACCAAAATGTAGCAGTGATTGGCTCTGAATGGGCCAAATTGTCCTCGCATGCACACAAAAGTCCGTCTTACATAAATAAATAGTTTCCAATAAAAAGAGGATCCCTACTTGCCTCAAAAGTCAAATATTTTATAACTCAATTCAGCTCAGTCAATGCAGAATCTCAGAGTGTACAGGTGCCCCGTTTTTGAGACGGCGACGTGACTCGACTGAGTTGCGACTTCCCAAATCTGAATGTTATGGAAGAGATCTATTTTGTATTCAATGTCTTTTTAATTTATTTTACACATGAAAGACTGGAAATTAGGAATGCATAGTTAGAAAATGAGACATGAGAACAATATTTAATTGACACGTGATTGACAATGACTTGGGCGACCTTTTGCTAATAAATGATAAACTTTTAGTTAGATTGTGCCAATTTCTTAAGGTTTTTTTTCTCGTGGGGAAGAATTTATCCCACAATTGAATGGGAATTTCGCGTTGTTTTTTTTTGGCTGGACGACGTCTCAGTATAAGTGGAAACTAATTAGTGCAAATGAACTGGCTTCTTTCTCCATTAGAGCTCACTCACTTTGAGCTCTGTTCTCTCCACTCAGTAAAAAGAAGAAGAAGCTTAATTACGGATAAATCATTGTCAACGGCCATTATTGAGACGTTTCTTTGAGTTTGTGGACGTCGAGCAGGTGCCGTTCCTACATAAATCTTCTCTCCACCACCACAACCGCTATCCTGACTCGTGTAGCCTACTAGTTATCACAAGTTAATGATTTTCATAAAGCCATAACTCATAAAGTGGACTCATTTCTTCTTGATTTTCAATTTTCAATCTCATCGTCTCGTAATTAATTCTTGTTCATTTTATGCATGCAAGCTCTCACTCTGACCGAACTAATAAGGAAAAGTTGTCAAAATTGTTAAACGAATATTCCAAATCGTTTATGGTTCATTTCCAAATTACGAACGGGCAGAGTTTCCATTTTGCAGATGGGAATGTGTGGCACTTCTTATGCGATGCCTAAAATGCAGATTTTAATTGTGCCAAGAAAACTTTTGCAATAAGTTGACTGTTGATTAACGAGAAGAAATCTAGAATGGATAGATATGGAGCAAAGTGTAAATCGAAACAGAATATTAATGAGACACGACGACTAAAAAATTGTACCTGATTAATTGCAGCTGTGATAAAAGGAAAGATAAGTCAGCCATGCAAGATATCGCATGGCTTTGGACGCATATGAGGGAAATCTGGCACTGATTCCTCAGCAGTAGTTTGTTCTCCTTGGGTCTGAGATAAGGCGACACGAGAGTAGGTCGTCATTAGTCAGTCGGTGATTATAATCGGACATAATATCGCTTGTTTTACTCACCATCCGGTATGAAGTTTGTGAGATAAGCTAAATTGGGCGAAATAATGGACTCCTCTCACTCGTGTCACTTGCCCATTTTCCAGTAATATGATACGGAAGGAGATAACATTCTGCAATGAAAGTGACATGTGTCCAACTGATCCCGTTTGTTGGCAGAGACAGTTCTGTTTTGGCTTTGGGCTCCTCATCAAAGCCACATTATTACTCCTTTCTCCACTGACCCACCAGCCAGAGTGATTTCTGCTCTCAAAATGAGAATCTCGTGATAAATCTCGCAAAAGAGACAAAGGTTTTCGAACAAGAAGAAGAAAGCAGCCAATTGAGCCCGTAATCACCTCATTTCCGCTTAAAATCAGTGGACAAAAGACTTTTTCTCTCCCCTCCACCATGTTGACGTGCGTGTACCATCCGCCAGTGTCCCTCGTGTCCACCTCGGCCCCACAGCTGAACAAGAACTGCATGATTAGGGTGAATCGGGAGGTGGACACGCGGAAGGTGATGGTGAGCAAGTTCACCGAGGACAAAAGCGGTCGAGTGAAAGTTGAGACCAACTCGACGAACAAGACGTTGAACCAGATTTTGAGAGCCAGGCACAAATCTGGTTCCAGCTCTTCATCCTCGTCCAGCAGCACTTGCTCCAACTCTTCCTTGACGTACAGAAAGGGCAGAAATTCGTCCGAAAACTCCTTGAACAATTGGAACAACAATGACGACTCGTGGGAGTCTGCCTACTCCTCCGACTCGGAACCGGTAAGAGAGAGGCATTTTATCCATAAGATGAGCTCCATCACCCGAGCCCAAATATCTGTATGCACCTCGTTTAACATACTTGCCCAGGCCTCACAGTCTGCTGGCTACCAGCGACTTTGTCCGTTTCGCACGTGGGACCACCTCGCTCAAATTAGAGAGAAGGATAATTAAATTATGAGGCAAAAGTCCTTTTCCTGTAATTGGATTCTATAAATTGAAATTACTCTGTGCACTTTCCCCAAATGTCTTGAATTTCAGTTGCTTTGAGAGCGACAGGAGCGATTATAAAAGTTGTATGTATGAGTGAAACCGTCAAGCCTCATGCACCCCTCTATTCCGCATGTAGAACTACACAGAACTAGTCTCCTGCGAATTGTGTGACTTTGTGCAATTCCACACGAGTTGTAAAGGAGTGCATTAAGTATGAAATATGAAGTCATCCTCGCCGCGGAGGACGTAAGTAGCAAGATTGTTTTGCAAAACTGGGAGGAGAAATGATAAGCATGAAGGTGGAAGAGTGACAGGTGTAATGCAATATGTGGCTCTGGATGAATTTTAAATTGAATGAGGCAGAGGAAGTCTTCGTATTTTTCTTGGGGAATTGCAGCCGTGATGGTGGTGGCAGACGGCGGCAGGCAGGTAACACGGTCCTCTAGTCAGTGGTACTTACAGAGCAGAAGGAGGAGAACGAGACGTTGTCTTGTCTCTCTGAAACTGTTTCCACATTTCAATTTTGTTCAATGTGGGAAGAAATAAGGACCTGAATGCTGATGCAGTGATCGATCATCCACTCCTTCTTCGCCTCGGTGTGTAACGGATAAAAAACTGACATAAATATTGCACTAGCTATTTGAGGTAACACAAAGTTTTCACCAAGTAAGCAGCAAAGTAACTCTTGCCTCCTCCACTGCCCCTGCTAATTCTTTTTATGTGTAAATTGTTGTACGTATCCTTTGCTCCATCCGAGAAAACCGAGGAGTCGGTTTCCTCAGGGGAACTTCTCCACAGATAAGTTGGTCCGTGGTGGTGGAAGGAAGTGGTTTCCTTCCCTTGATCCTCTAAACCCTCCACACACAGCCACCCATGCCCGACAACATTAGAGACTTGGTTTCTTCGTGAGCCTGGCAAGAACAAAGCTGCCGGTTGTTGGCAGCTCCTTTGTAAATTAAGATAAGATAGCATGTCTCTGTTTATTATGAAACTATGTAAAATATTACAGTGTGGAGAAAGTGGGAACTTGACGAGGAGGTAGGCAACCAACAATGTCTACAAAAATCAAATGCACCTCGAATTACGTAAACTACAAAATTGACATTCCTTGTCTTGTTTACTAGTTTTGTCTCAAAATTCAGTCCCAATTAACCCGCATGGGAGGCGTGCATATTATTAACTCGGAGTGAGCCTTGCTTATATTGCGTTGGTCTAACCAACCACAACGGAACCCTAATGTAATTTGCAGACTCGAGATTAAATGAGTATCATGTTAGATTGAGGGCGTCCATAAAGTTTTCATACGACACGGTTAAAGAGTGTACCTCACCAGATGAGTTGACTTTGTGTCGCGTCTTGGAGCTCATTGCGACGGATGGAATTTCTAAAACTGCTACTCGCAGATCGATAAGATAATTCCCAGAATGTAAAACAAAGCTGTTAAAATGTCATATTGCAAGTATGACGACCGTCTTAAAATCTCTCTCCAAGATCTCGTCCGCAACCTTATTGGTCCGTTCGTATCATTTATTACAACTTATCTAATAATACGGCGTATTACGTATGTAAACTGGGTTGGACTTACCTGAAGTGGGTATCGCATTTTTTTGTGGCGTGACAGCAAGTTACATGGACTGCCACTTGTCCCTTAACAAAATATACCAACTTTAAAAATCAGCATTGCAAATAAGCCAGAAAGTTGAGGTTCAGAACCTTTACGGGGAATAAAACCCATGATAAATTCAGAGTGAAGTTAGCTAATCGTGAATCTCATTTCCTTTTAATTTTCCGCATCCTAAATTTCTTCTATGCGCCCAAACCCCAGAGACGACAACGGCGTACCCGTTGAATGAGCGGACCAAATGTGTCTCTCTCTCTGTCTGTCTGGTCGGTGAAACGATGTAGAGTAAAAATCGGATAGTTTGCGAGAAACAGTTTTTTTCACTGCTCGAAAAATGTACACTGAGAGGAGCAGAGAGGAAAAGAAGTGGCAGTATCAGGAGGAGGCGAGGCTGATAAAGCTAAAGACTGGGTTTACGTCCTCCCTCTTTATCCGCCGTATGTAGTAAAGGCAGTCAAAGTTCATTTTACTTTTACTCCACTTTTACTTACACATCATCATTTCTCGTTAAAAGCTGAACTCGTACTCTCCGCATTCTTCCACATCCTCTCCGTTTAAATAGATTAGAGTGCCCACACACACAAGCAGGGAGCTGGGTGGTGCATGGGAAGAGTGGTTTGTATCGTTTGTGTGTGCCTCTTATTCCGCCGCGTTTGTGGGAGAAAGGAGAGAGGAGAAAGTCAAGGAAAATAGAATGGGACCAGTCGACAGGTTACAATTTATGCGATCGTCGACACTCTCCTCCTCGAGAGAAGAAGACTGTTGCCTTTTTCCTCCACATTGACCACTGAACTGAACTGACTATCCCTTGCACTACGAACGAACGAGGATATGGTCCCACTCATCTGCAGCACGCTCATGCATATCCACACCAATAAAATGGCATGAGATGCGAGTCAAGACGAGGATGATTTACAATGGGAACGATCCCCACATGCGAAAAGTGTGCAGGAGAAAGTCAACTTATTGATGGTAATGTGACAAAATTGGAATCCTTTGAAATTCCAGGCGTAATGGATGGATGCGTCCCCACAGCCATCTACGTAGGCGATAAAATTAAGCTGTAAAAATGAGAATGGCATAAACCCAGTTTTGTGGAGAAGTTGTATTAAAATTCTTTGCTAAACCCACAAAGTTACTCCAACTTGTTTACATAATTCGGAAAATGAAACAAATTCCAATCCAGAAATAAACAGGGAGCAGGTATAATCTCCCTTTTGTTGTTTATCTGAGTATAAATCACTCTAAAAACAAGTCATTGGCTGATAAATTAGCAATCCTCCCCATCCTCCACACAATGTAAAATGTAGAACGACTACTTTCTCCCGAGCTCAACAGGCCCAATTTATCTGGGTCGGTCGGTCTTATTGGGTGCTTCCCGTGGTTGTGGCGGTGGTGGTGGTGGTGTGGGGAACGTTCAATGGAGCTGTAAATAGTTAATACTTCTAATGGGACCTGAAATGAAAGCGATTCCCACTGCCATAGAACCATCATCATCACCATCATCATCATACTAATCATCATCAAACCCCCGGAAACCAGGAGTCTATACAAGCACACGTACATGCATAAGTGTGCAGAGGAGGAAGTAGCGAATTTTAATCAGATGGGCACCAGGGTGGATTGGTTGTGATGAGATCCGCAATTCACAATTGGGAGGAGGACGCATTTCCAATTCACAATCAAAATCCATGTGGATCAAAGTTTCGAGAAGGAGACCACTTCGCTCGCTGAGTGAAAACGCTCCAGTGGTCCATGAATGAATGAGTCGGTTTTGGGTACTAAACTAATCCTTGTGAGTTGTTGGACGGGGCTTTGCACCACTGCCAGCCACTCCTCGGAACAGAAAGGTGCTCCGCTGGTGAAAGTTGTTTTTGAATCATAATTATTACTCGCACAGCTCTCTCTCTCTCTCCATCCTCCCGAATTCGGGGCGGAATAATATGCAGCCAAGCATACAAATGAAGGAGGCGAGGAACAATGACTCTCTGGCACTTAATACCACGTTTCCCCAAGTTTGGTTTCCGCTGTGTTTTATTACGGCATCACTTTCTTATTTTACTCTCCTGTCGCCCTTGTACTCAAAACAGTCGTGGATTAAGTGCAGCTGCAGCTTACTTTTCATACTGCTCCCACTACTTTTTGCTCAACAGTAATATTGCCCAGTCAAAATGTCACGAGTTGCACTATTTGTTTGCTCTCTATTCCCCATTCATTTGGATTCATTTGTCTTGACAATTTTTTAATTAATGAGCATATGCATGGCATTAGTGTACATAGTCTGCAGTTTTGACACCTTTCATCAGCAGCACTCTGTGGATTACTTTGAAAATCAATTGTGCATCGTTTTGTTTTCCGGGGAACATGTTTGGCAATCATTTGGCGTAATGTGATTAATTAACGATATTGAAAGAGCTGGGAAACCGTTCTGTAACAAATGGCGCCGGTACAAATAAACGTCCATCATACAGAAGGACTGTCAGTCAGTTCCTGATAAATTAGCAAATATCTATTCGACTCCCTTTCAAGGATAATGAGCAGCGAGACAAGTGGTCTTTTGCTTATTCTGCAGTAAATTCTAATCGTATAACCTAATTCGTCGGGTTATTGAAAAATGAAAACAGAACTTGATAACCCTTTGCGGATAACCCCAACCACAGCCTCGTGCAGCCCTAATAAGCCATACATTATGCACAAGCACAGTTCTCCTGATGGGCGAGTGAATTGCAATGGGAATGGGAATTTGAATTCCACTCCAGGCACATTAAAGCTCGGCAGGTTTGAGGGTTTCAATTCTGCGCCCATTAGAGGACACATCCTAATACGCGGTGTAATGGGCACCTACGTATTTATGAAACAATTCAGCACTTGAGCAAGCGTGGACTGCCATTAAGAAAATTGCGTGGAAATGGCTCACCTTACAGCAACACACACAATACAAGATCCCATCAAAGAGATACAGCTACACCCTCGCTAAGTAATCAATTGGAAATGGGTTAAGTTAGCATCTGGAGAAAGCACGAGTCTCGTCCTGGGCTGAGCTCACCTTCTTCTTCCCACTGGCTTCTCCTCCTCGTGGTCGTGGATGCATTAGTTCCGCGAGAGAAAGGTCATTAGAATTCTGAACGAGTCCGCTTTCGGTGGCTTCCATTTGTTCCATTTCCTTCAG